GAGGAAAATCCATTAATATTATGTCTTTTTAGGGCTTTTATTAAAACTCAAGGACTTATCTTTAGCTCTTCATTCATCACTTAAAAAATACTAGCACTATTATAAAAGTACTCTGCAGCTACATTTTAATAAATTATTAACCACGGAATTGCACAGTCAGTAAGTATACAGGGTGACTTTTAGTTACGATGTTCTCTTGGGTATCTCGGAAACTACTGGGATAGAGAGTCGGTTAAATGGGGGAAAGAATGCAGTTTTTGTGGGGGTCATAACTATGCGCCTTTCAGATTTTTGAAAAAGTTCATGGCCTTACTAGACTATTTGAAAAAAACATTTTTTTTTTTTTTTTTTTTAATTATTTTTGAACATGGGTATAATCATATTCCTAATGAGTTGTGTTCTCCGATTTTTTTTTTTTTTTTTTTTTTTTTAAAAATATGTTTTTTAATAGGAAACTCGTAGTTGGCCATGACTTCTAAAAAAGCGCCATTTTTAAGCTTTTCAGCGATATGAGCTTTAATATGTTTTTTCACAATATTTTTTTTTTTTTTATTATTATTTATCTTTTTGACTAATTTCACTTGTTTCTTATGTTGGCATGGTGTGTCTTATGAAGTATGTTGGAACTGTATTAATGCGCGAGTATCTAAATTTCCTTTTTAATGACTTTGAGTCTTTTTTAAAAGTTAAGTCAGTTCACTGGTCAAACGTATCCTGGAAACTGTATATGCAGGAAGTTGAACTAATAATCTTACACGCTTTACTTCATTTGAATCATATTACATTTTTTGTTTTAATTTTTTTACAAATTTTTTTTTTTAAAAATTTCAAAGATTTTGGGCAAATCGATTTTGCTTGTTTCATGGCTAACTATGTTGAAATTAGTCAAGATATATAAGAATTGGCTATAACTCAGTAATTTTTAAAAATAAAATGAAAATCGAAAAGCTCGTTCAAATAAAAATTGCGCTTTTATGAAGTCATTGCCAACTATGTTTACGTTTAAAAACATATGTTTTGTCTCATATGTCAAAAAACACCCAAAAACAAAACCAAAAAAAAAAAAAAAAAAAAAAAAAAAAATTATAACTTTTATCTAAACTTTTTGTTCTAAATAGATTATAATGAATTAGGGACATAAATTTGTTTTTTTTGTTTCTATCTAATTGCATGACATTTTTCAAATCTGAAAAAGGGTATAATTTTGACCCCCCAAACTGCATTCGTTTCCCCATTTACATGACATTCTTATCTCCAGTAGTTTCCCGGATAACCCATAGAGAACACTCTTTGGAAACACCCTGTTATTACACACATTTCAACTTTGTACTAATTAATACTGTTATTATTCGTCATTTGATTACTTTACAAAAGTACTAATCGAACTATCGAAGTTTTTGTCTGTAATTTTTTTGACAAGAGTTGCAAATTTACCGAATAACTTTTGACCAGTCAACTTGCTTAATCGAAACACTGTACGTCGGTTTGGCGGCGAATTAAGGGGATGAAACATGTGCAGTAATTTATGAAATTCCGTAATGACGTCACCAAACTCTTTCATCTGGTTGTTAAGTGAAAGAGAGAGTTAGACAATAATATGTGACGTGACTTTGAACGATCGCTAACAATTTATTCAATTATTTAATTGAACGGGTAGTGTATAGTAAACGCCACGACTGTTTGGGAGTGATTCATCGCTTGCTGAAGTTAGAATCGACACACGCGCGCTATCATTTTACATTAAACGGTTAAATTTTTACCGCGACGTAGGTTTTTAAAGGCCCTAATCATCTACCTGCGCCCCTCCTACTTATTCTAAAAAGTTAGCGTGATTGACAAAAACCTATATCGCCTTTCTTTGATTCGTTTTTGTGCGAATCCATTGGTGTGCTTGCAGTCCAATGGGGCATTCCATTTTATATTTATAACAAATATATTATTTTTTTACGTAAAAGTCTCTAGGTAAAATTTGCTACAGAAAAGGTTCTATTGATTATTTATATGGCCTTGAAAGAACACGGCACTGGAATTAAGTTTTATGAGACCTTGAACAGATTAGTTCGGTGCAGCACACTTATCCTAACGCGTATCTGGTACGGCGTAATGACTTGATTAGATTTCAGTAATTTATTGCTGACCTTCATCTGTCGAAATGTTTAATCTGTTTCATCTGTAAAAATTTCAACAATAGTTACTGGAATCGAGGTCAAGGTCGTTACGCGTATACGCGATACGCCGTTTACGACGATACGCCGTTTTTAGGCTAGTGTGGATGCACCCTCACTGGCAGAAGACGTATGAATCACTCCCAAACATTGGTGGCGTTTACTCTATTTCAAGCTCACCAATGCTCATACTAATAAATATATGATGTGAATAACTTTTACTTACATCTATCCAAACTGAGTCATTCATAAAGGAAAAAGGTAGGGGCGGGTCGTCTCCCAACTGCTTTTCACACCGACTGTAATCTATAGTGTCGGCTTTTAGTCTCGGAGGTGTACCAGTCTTTAACCGTCCCATTTTTAAATTCAATGAGTCTAAGGTATTTTCATTTTATTAAAAAAAAAAAAAAAAAAAAAAAAAAAAAAAAAAAAAAAAAAAAAAAAAAAAAAAAAAAAAAAAAAAAAAAAAAAAAAAAAAAATGTTTTTTTTCTTTATAAAAAAATGTTGCATCTAGGGTTTTGTTAACTTTGGTATTTGCTATTTGTTTATTCTTTGGATAATTTCGTCAAAATTAGCAGACTTAATATAGTAATTTATGTTTACGCGTATGCAGAGAACTCGATCGTTTGTGTATATATATGTATAGACATTTGTTTCTTATCCATTTGCATGACGTTGCAATAACTAATAAAGACTAATTGTACGCACAACACGCCGAAAATTCAGCGGTTGATCAATTTGTTCTAAAGGATTCGTTGGTTCAAATATAACCAACAGAAATGAGGCGTGTGAATGAATATAGGTTATAAGACTTAATAATGAGTGATTCTCTCAAAGCTGCTGATAGCTCTCGGTATCCACGCTGGTGTGGTTTCGTAAAACTATTGGGAATTCTTTATGTCGCTCGTGATGCTACGACATCGGTATTTTATATGCGTTAATGAATGGCGCGACTAGGAATGCATAGTTAGCCTTGCATAATGATAAGAATGCTGTGGAATCCGTAGAGATACGTAGCTTCTCAGGAGATACGGGAAAAGTCCCGCTTATAAGGTTCGTTTATTTTTTTTTTTCTATGTTACGATCACATTGTTGAAGTAGGTAAACTATTTTTTTTTAAATTGCGTTGGTTAGTCTCTGGCGGTAAGCTTTTTTTTAGATTGCACGCGAAATACCCGACCGATTATCGTTTATGCGCATGCGGGTTGTAGAGTTTCAGGGTCCGGCTAGATGCAAGAATTAATTTAAATGTTTTTATTCGATAAAAGCCGATATACAATTTTATATACAAATATATTTTTCTTCTATTTTTTCTTAGTAGTGGTCAAAGGTGAAAACTGGCAACGCTGCAAGCAGTGATACCGTGCCGGTTGCACGCTAGTAATTAATAGGATTCTTTGTACAGTGACATTATTAACTCCTATTTCACTTCCGAATGCTCAGCCAAGGATTGCGGTTTTATGGCATTTGGCCCTTATACGTGCTGAATGTTTAACAGTTTTAACAATTAAACCGGTCTAATTTTCATATCGATGTGTCGCGGCATCACTTTTGTCGTCACTGCGCCTGGCTGTATACAACGAGTTGGAAGTGATACTGTGAATGAATTTGCTTTAAATTTGACGACGTACATCTTATTGGATGTTTCAGTTATTGGTATTGATGGTACACATGCTACGACCATTTTTATGGTCAGTTCTGCGCAATCAAATTTTCTGTGGCACCCTGGTAATCCGCAATGGTGACATTACCTTTGGATGTTTTGCTTACATATTATTTCTTTTGGAATTGAAAATGGTAAATAAAATACATTTTTCTTTGAGAATTCAATTAAGTTCAAAATGTTTCAATTGAAATATTTTTGTCACATTTAATTTTTTTATTCATTTTGATAGAAAAATGTTTTGTCGTTAAAACTTAAAACTAAAAATTTATTACTAGTACGCGAACTGAACTGACGATTAAAAATCAGTTGGAAACTCAAATTTTTGTTCTATGAACGCTAGATTTTTGGTTAGGAATTGCGAATTTTGGTTCTGTGGACGCTTAAAACTTCATGCGCATGCGTCGGACCGTTAAAAACTATTCCTGGCTGCTCAAAAAATATATTTGAGATTAATCCAGCTACCATGTATCGCAGTTTCAGAAAAAAACTTCTAAAATATCCTGTACAGAGTGTCCCAAATTCGAGCCTCATCATTGGGTTCTCGAAAACTAGAAGAGACAGAATCATAAAATGGACGCAATCTAAATTGGCAAGTTGCGCATTCCAACACTCTCTAATACTGATCAAAATGCAGCAATAGAGGTTTAAAAATTCCTTTACATATTTCCAAAGATTTTTGGAAACCGGAAAAAAATATTCACGATTGCATTTTTATTTTTATAGTTAGTTTCTAGTGTCTGAGATGCTAAAGACGAGGCTCGAATTTGGAACACCCTGTACATCTAGAAAGAAATAATATTACTAAATATACTTTCCTATAGCTGGTTCATCGCCTATACGCCCAGCTGGTCTAATATTGAGACCTATATTTATTCTGCCTCTTAAAAATGTCCCTGTAGTTATCACCACGCAGTCAGCTTTTATTTTTGTACCATCGTCTAAAATCTCTCAATCTTGATATTTAAATAAAAATTGCCTACAAACTAAAACTTACTTAACACGACGCCTTTACACTTTGCAATATTTGTATTGTTTTCAGTATGCGAGTGTTCAATTATTAAATCTTCAACAGGGGCAAAAAGGACACTAAGATTGTTGGTATTGTCAAACAATTCTTCTTGCATATGTTTCTTATATAATTCTCTATCTATCTGAGCTCTGTAACCCCAAACTGCAGGACCTTTGCTTCTATTTAAAACCTAAGAAAATTGATATTGTTTGTGTAATAAGAATGGAAGCGATAGCGTACGTCATCAATCAATAAACATTTCTGAAAATATGAAATATGTTGAATAAAACAAGAATTTTCCTATTTTGTTTAAAATGTTCACCAGAGCTGCAAGCTCACAGAAAACTTCTCCAATCAAGTCTTTTTCAAAATGATTTAAGTACTTTTGCTTAGCACTAGCCTTAATAATTAAAATTCACACATACAATAGATTACATAACTGCTTTAAAAAGAACACTTAAATTGCCATGTCCAACTTTAGTAAAAACTGATATTCAGGGTAGAATACATACTAAAGTACATACTTTCTAATACATATATTCGTAAAATAAACCTATTTGTAGCTGACTTTTTGAAATGTTAATAAACATGCAGTGTTCCAGTGGCGGCTCGTCAGGTGCAGTAGGTGAAGGGGCACTTCACCGAAAAAATACTGAAATTAAAGAAAAAACTTCACTGCTTAAAATATTAATTTAGTTTAATATATTTACATGTATCTAAATAATAAAATGGCAATTTTTTATAAGTTATTTACTTTTTTCCGGGCGCACCTCTGCATAATAGGTCCACCGCATCGTTAATTCCGGCCGAAAAAGTAGCATTAAAGACCCGCACGCGCCTACAAGCCAGAAGTGCAAGTGAAAATGTTTCTATTTCTGAGCCAAGCGGCTGCACGGTTTCCATGGTAACGTGACGTCGGCCTAGCGGCAGAAGTAAATCCCCCCGCCCCGAAGTTTATTATCGACCGATGTGAATGAGTTTTTGGTTTTGGGCAGTTCTCTTCGCTTTCCTTTTGTTCAGGAAATGCGTGACGGGGGCGCATAATTTATGCATTTATTCTAATATTCAGCTACTTCGGCAAGTAATTAACCGTGTAAAGACTTTACATTGTTGTTGTTATTTATTGTTGTTTGTTAATGGCTTTTGTTGATTTAACTTGTTAATTTTTGGCGATTTTTGCTGTTTGTTTTGTTGTTGTGTTTTAAAACTCTTTTGTGTTAAAAAATGAACCCAATTAATGACTTGGTGTGTAATTTATTGGAAACTCCCTTCAGACAGTGGACAGATGAAGATAAGAGGGATAAATTGCAAAAAAGTAATAAGAAAAAGTGGTAAATCTTATAATATTAAATTTAAGTCTTCCTGGTTTTCTGATTTTAATTGACTATGTAGTAGTATTGTTTTATAAAAAAATTTTAAAACTCTAAATATAAAAAGAATTCCATATGGATCCAACTTTATGGTGGACACTGTATACTTATAATGTTTATTATATTTAATTTAAATTTAATTATATTTTCACTGGAATGCAAAATAATGTGTTTATCGAAAACTGGTTGTATCTCTTTTTTACTTAATGCGTTTGAGCCCAAACTAAAACGAAAATATTATAGGTATTAGTGTATAAATAATAACAAAAAAAAATATTGACAAAATGGTGAATGCAGCAAAAATTTTTCAAATATTTTAAAAAATGTTGACAAAATGGTGAATGCGCCAAAAAAATTTTAGGCGCGATTTAAAAAAATAACTCTTCACCTAATTTTTTACCCACGAGCCGCCACTGCAGTGTTCAATGCAAAATGGTCAGATTGAGTTATTTAGTTGTCTTTTAGTTACCCTTTAATAGCATGTAGTAGAGATAACTTTATTTTTGTAAATGATAAACCATACATTACACAATGTGAAAATATGAGGAATGTACCAAAGTTATGCTGCAGCCACAAAGATACTTTACTATATAGTAAAAATATGAATAATACCAGTATCACTAACTTTATATTGTATCCCAGATAAATCGCATATTCTACCACATACACCATCCAGAGCATCAATTTCACGCATTAAATGACCCTTCCCAATTCCGCCAAATGAAGGATTACAAGACATTTCACCTAAAATATGAAAACGTATCATCATGTCTTTGATGCATTTTTACAACTTTACCAACAGTGTCTCTTTTATGAGTTATCAACAAGGTTTTAGCTCCCATTCTTGCAGCTGCTGCACAAGCCTCACTTCCAGCATGTCCTCCTCCTATTACCACTACATTGTAATTAGTATCCTTGGAGAAATAGGATAGTTTCCTCATTAAAATACTATAATGTTTTAGATGACTTTTTAATCCGTGATATTTTAAGAACTCCATGATAAAGACCAAATATAACGACAGTATTTCGTTAACTTACTAACAAATAAGAAAATTAATTTTCATAGTTAATTCTAGATCGTAAAAATCCAATAATCCTCGATGAACTACAAAACTACCTCAAACATTTCAATATTTTAAATCACATTTTAAATTTCAAAACATTTTTATTACATAACCTTACTTAATTATGTCACTGTCACTCGTTGCGCCATTGCTACCAGATTGGGCGATTTATCACAAATTGGGTGATTTTGGCATTGCCCTGGCGATTTCAATTTAAAAAAAATTGCAAGTCGCCATTTGAGCGATTTGGGCCACAAAACTTGTGACACCAATGAATCAATGCATACCTAATATTTTAGAGTATTAATTGCTTTACTTATTTTCATAAAGGTAAAAATCGCAATTACATAAATCCATTGATTTGTAATTTGAATCCTTTGTTTGAATCACATATTTATTTGTCCCATTCTGTTTGTAAAAACTTTATTTTAAGTCTATGGTAAAAACACTTTATATTTGAAACTTGAATTTCTTTACCTCTGAGGGTGCAGCCACACTATCCTAAAAACGGCGTATCGGCGTAACGGGCGTAATGACCTCGAATGGATTTCCAGTAATTCTATTGGCTGAAACATTCATCTGTCAGAAATTTTACCTGTCAAATTCATCTGTCAAAAATTTTAGCCAATAGAATTACTGGAAATCGATTCAAGGTCGTTACGTCGTTACGCCGATACGCCGTTTTTAGGATAGTGTGGCTGCACCCTGAATGTTTTTGATAAACGGATTTTGGTGTGTGGATCCGGTGGCTGACTTTGAAGCCCATATTTGCTGCATTTGATCATCGATACTACGCAAGCGCACATCGTCGATATTGCCAAATTGCAGTTTATTTTCGAATTATTTGCAGTTGAAAATTTTCTTTTGAGTGTTAATCAATAATAATACAAATTCTCTAATTAATTTTATAATTTCAGATTTATCTTGAAAATTGAATATATAAAATTGTAATACTAATAACATTTATTTATATATTTACATTAGAATTAAAAATTATCATTTACGAATTTTTTCTTAATGGTTTTAAACTTATTAGAATTATTTTATTTCTTTCAAGTTATTTAATTTCTAGTTATTTACAGGCAACAATAGTTCTGATTATATGTATTGATGTATTGAACTTTATTGAAGTACTACCATGACGAGTCTTGTAGAACAATACATGTCAATGGGAGATAGAGGTAACATTTTACCTATAATGTTACTAATATAAAATACTTTGATTATAATGTTTGTATCATAATTTCTTAAAAATATCAAGTTAGTGGATTAATAGCAATTTTAGACATATATTTTATCAAGAGTGTGGTGATAAGACTAAAATAAGCTTTATGTTTTATCTTTTTCTCTTTAGAAGGGAGATGGTTTGTGTCGTAGAATGCATTACAGTATTTAATATCGTGTAGTTTGATATTATTTTCTTAATTTACTGTAATTTTTTGTTTCCTATAATGCCAAATCTTGACAATATGGTGAAGGTTGAGTTTTTATCTTATTAGTTTTATACCTGTGTTTATACAAGACCAAATTAAGACAGTTAGTTTGTGATTTATATTAAGATCTTTCTTATAATATTTGTTATGTCTTAATCTTAATACTATATTATGCTTTGTCTGGAAAATAAATGTTAAATATCTTAATTTTGCATATCCTATTCCATCTTTCCATTAGGAAAAATATGGTTTATAAATCATATATGCTAAGAAAATCACATAAATTAAGTAAGTAAGAATAGAGAAATCTTAAGGTAGCAGAAAAATTAATGCAATATATGTATAAACAGAATTAAACAAGGGAACTGTTAATGTTGCTGAAGCTGATTCTACAATTTTAATTACGGAGGCTAAAAGGCCTTTTAAGGCCTCCGTAGTTTTGATGGAATGTTAAAAAAACTATTATGAACATGACATGAAGCAAAACATTTAAAAATTAAAAAAAAAAGAAAAAACTTGGACACATCCCTTTTAATTTCCCGAATTTTTAATAAAGCCCTTTTTAAACGTAGCATAATAATCTAGAGCAATTAAATTAATTATAGGAATCTAGAGTTTTATTTCTATTTAATTTTATTGACTATGAAAATACATAATAAGCGTTCACGTGTTGTGCGAAATATTAAAATAATAATATAAATAATACCGCGTAGTATGATTGAAAAAAAAATAGCGGCAGCGATGACTATAAAATGAAGATCGCTGTCATTTTATATGGGAAATCGTCATTTCCCAGTCAACTGGACGCCGTTTTTTTGATCACACGGTATATATTGACAAAAAAACACTGAAAAGAATATATTTGTTTTCTACTGAAAATAATTCCAAAATAATTTGCAATCTGGCAACATCGAAGATGTGCGCATGCGTAGTGTCTGTGACTATATGCACCAAAAACTCGTTTCAAGGTCAGCCACCGGATCCACACCATTACCCGGATTTTTAACCGAAAAGACAATAAAGCCGGTGGTACCAAGCCGGTATACCATAAAGCCTTCTTTTGCATGTTTTTTTAATCTTTTTACTGGGATGAAAAAATTTGGTGACTTGTTTTATTTTGGCATACTATCTGGAATCTGGCATCTGGCAACACTGCTTTTTGCCCATATGATTTGGACGTTTGTGATTGACATAACCTCAAACAAAAACAAATGTTTTTGTTATTGTTCTTAGTTCTTATCTCTGTTCTTATGTTCTTTATTATGTTAAACTCAAAGTTATACATAATCTTACCAAAACATAATTCTTTATATTTATCATAAATAATCGCGTGTTAATAATGGCAGGTAGCAACGTAAATTCTACTGATCTGGACCAAGACACTAGAGAGAAATTGAAAGGAGATTGTATTGGTGATACATTGTATAGTGAATCTTTCGTGCTAAAAACTCTTCTCAAATTATCCAATGTTGACTGGAATGAAGAACTAGAGCAGGATTTATGTTTTTTATGGGATATGACACTGGAGAAAGAAGTATGCCAATATTTGTTTCAGCTGAATTATCCAGCATTAGCTTGTTCGGTGATATCACAACATACAGAGGAGCGCCTATTAGAAATTATTGTTGGGATTTTAGCTAACATTCTAATGGCTGATTGTGATAGAAAAATTGACGATAGTGAAATTCAAATTGTTTTAAATTCTCTTAACTTTTCTGACCCAACAATACTAACACAAGTTATGAGATTTATAGAATCAATTGCTTACTATGTTCCTGAAAAAATAACTTTAATCGGCGAAGAAGAATTAGCAAAAATACAATTCATATTGAAAAATTCAGAGAACAATTTGTTACTGATACAAACTTTTCAGACTTTAATCAAATTAACGGATAATTTTAAGTTAGGTGAAAATTTTGTTACTGCCGAACTTTACAAAACAAGTGTTATTGGGTTTGATACGTTAATTAATATGGAGTCTGATGATTTTGAAATTGATACAGAAGAAACCAGTATGGTATTAAAACTATTCTTACATTTGTTAACAAATATATGCTTTTATGTAGATAAATATAATCATGACAATGAAATTTCAACTTGCTTAAACAATAGTTCAAAAATCTATATTATAATTCATAAAATACTAAAATATTTTTCTCATGAAAATAATTTATTTCCCCTATCGATGAATTTTAAAGAGTATATTGGTTCATTTCTAACATTTTTTACGACACGTGATATTTCTATCACTTCATATCTTAAATTTAACACATTTAGTAAAGATTTCTCTTCAATTTGTAAGATAATTAATTTATTATACAAATGCAAAGATGAAGTGGAAGAAAGCTTTGATCTAGTTTTAGAATTTCTTGCTTATTTCATATGTTCAATAGACAAACATACAATATTAACTGAATTGCAGAAAATAGAGTACAAAAGGGGAATTGTAGTTCTTAACTGCCTAAAAGAAAGCTTGAAGACGTCTAGTTTTGATATATCAGAAAATCTAAAATATTTTTTCTTGTATTTTAAATAAGCTGAAATATTATGTTTATAAAATAACTAACTGTTAAGATTGATTTGTATTACATATTAATACAAAAACCTGAATAAAATATACAGGGTGTCCTAATATTCCGTGGACATAGAGCTCCTACTTGTTATAGAGCTTACTCCTTGTTGGACACAATTTACCTCTATATAAAAGTGCTACGTTTGTCCGCTACAGAGCATCAAACTAATAAAATAAACACATTTTTTCAGATATTTTAAGAACCGTTCACAGGAACCGTTCTTCTGATTTGAATGAGATTTTTAGTTATTATTTTTTTTTAATGTTTGATGCCCTCTAACGGACAATCGAAGCACTTTCGCATAGAGGTAAATTGTGTTCATTTTGATCCCAAAAATACGTAGTAGTTCTATGTCCACGGAATATGGGGACACCCTGTATAATATTTTTTTCTGAAAAACTATTTCTATATCTGATCTTTTAAATGTGTATAAGTATTCAAACCCTTTGCACAGTGGCGGATACAGGAGGGGAGGCCCATGGGGCCCGGGCCCCCCTAAAATCTATAAATTGGGTTAAATATTAGGCTTTTGGGTTAAAAATGGCGCCCAAATAGCATATTCTCATCATATTCTACATTACTTTTTATTTGCCCCCCCCCCCTAAAATAAATTCCTGTATCCGCCCCTGCCTTTGCATAAATATTCGAATTACTCTTCTGAAAGATATGTATAGAAATGCAATAAAAAGAAAAAATGAAAATGATACCAATAGGTACTTTTTGAGTTCCAATCAGCAATAAAAGTTGTGATTTATAGAAAAATGTTCATAGTTTGAAAGGAGCTAATAAGCTCATTCTCATTGCTTAATAATTGTATCTTGAACAGAATATTTTATTCCGAAGTGTAAATACATTAGTATAGAGAGTGAAAAAAAAAATTACGGGAAGCTGATTTTTTCAGAGTTTGTCAGCGACTGTCTTCTGAGTGTAAAATTAACAAAATCGGAAATTTTCCCCTTGCGGTTTTTGAGCAATAGGGGTGTTTTTTTTAAACTACTACAACAAAATAATTAGACGCAAATTGTACATTATTGTACATTGAACATTCTCTATAAGTTCACCCAATGATTTTTTTTTATAAGTTTATTATTTCCGGACTTAGCGGCCGTTTCATGAGCCCTTTGGGGTGGTTTTCAAAAATTTTTTACAGCAAATTGACCCGTATGAAAGTTGTTTATAATAAATGGACAAGCAACTTTTCCCCATGAATTTTTTTTGTAGCTTGATTATTTTTGGAGATAGTGTCCAGTTCATGAGCAAATTAGGGTAGTTTTCAATGTTACTCTTTTTTCAGTAAATGCACCCTAGGAAACTCGTTCAAAATAAGAGTACATATGTTTGCCTTATGAATTTTTTTTGTAACTTGGCTATTTTTGGAGATAGCGCCCAGATTATGGACAAGTGGTTAAATGTGGTTAATTAAGCTTTAAATATCTTTTTTTTTCAGGAAATTCACAAGTGCTATTGAAAATATTCATTCACTTGATGAATTCCATGTTTTGTTTTAGGGAAATAAATACATATCATAGGGAAGTTTGCATGTAATTTTAATATGAACACCTTTAAATTGGTAAATTTGTAGAACTAAACAAAAATTATGAAACTACCCCAATTTGTTCATCAACTGGACGCTATCTCCAAAAATAATGAAGCTACAAAAAAAAATCATGAGACAAAGTTGCTTGTCCATTTATTATGAACAACTTTCATACGGATCAATTTGCTGTAAAACAAACTTTTTGAAAACCACCCCAAAGGGCTCATGAAACGGCCGCTAAGTCCGGAAATAATAAACTTATAAAGAAAATTTCACACCTCTACTTTTCAACCAATAACATGCTTTAATGTTGACTAGTTACCATGGCAACTGAAAAAATTTCCGGAAATTTTTTCGAGGCGCCACGAAACTTTAGTGGAAATTTTTTGACAGTTGAAAAGGTAAACATAAGATCTACAATCATAATGTGAATAAACTACAATGTCTATATATTGAAATATTACCCATTTGAGTTTTAGCATTTGATGTAACTAATTAAAAATATAATAATATTTGTTAATATTATTAACAAATTGAAATTATTTTAAAATGTCATGTTGGATTAATATTTTTTTTTTCAAATTTAGGTGTGAAATTTTCTTACCGAATACCACGCAAGCTTAAATTATTCCTGGAAATTTTCTTTCGGGCACGAATATTTTAGGAAAATTATCCCTCGTCTTCGACTCGGGATAATTTTCAAAATATTCGTGCCCTCAAAAAAATTTCCGAAAATAATTTAAGCTCTTATGATATTATAAGTGAAAATTCATTAGGCGAACTTATAGAGAATATTCTTATGTACAATTTGCGTCTAATTATTTTGTTGAAGTACAGTTTTAAAAAACCACCCCTATTGCTCAGAAACCGCAAGGGGAAAATTTCCGATTTTGTTTATTTTACACTCAGAAGACAGTCGCTGACAAACTCTGAAAAAATCAGCTTGCCCGTAATTTTTTTTTTCGAATGACAATTTTATTGGATTATAATAATCTTAAAGAAAATAACATTTCTAACTAGATATGATCTGTAAATTAAAAGGTTAATTAAATAATACATCAAATATAAATTATGTTTTTTTGTAGAGCCCTCCCAACCAACTAGCGCACACCGCTATTTAACAAGGGGAATTTCGAAGAATAAACGATTCTAAAGTACCTATAGATATACAGGGTGATTCAAAAAACATGTACCATCTCTCGTGGGGAGATTCCTCACGTAAAAATAAGATTTATTTTTCATATCAACATACGTCCGATTCTGCTTTGTTTCGTAGCTACAGGGTGTTAAAGTCTTAATAATCTTTCGATCTATTATAATTTTCTTCCAAGTACTTTTAGTGATTCAAATGAAATGTTGAGAATAAAAGTTACTCTAAGTGCTACATATTTTAATACTAAAAAAGTGTCGATAAATTCATTAGGGACGTATACATATATGGAGTATCACTGGAATATATTTAAAAAGAACGTGCGCCACTGACTTTTTTCTTTTGATATAAAAAGTGTGTGGGCCGTTTAATACCAATTGAAAGTTATCTCTTGATATTTTGTCGAATTCGGCCTCCTTCATGAGATAAACGCAATTTTATTAATCACAATTTATAATTAAAATAAAAATAAAATTAATAAATTATATATTTTACCTAATTTATTATTAAATATTATTACTATTAGTCCAACCTACAGAAATTTCAAATAAAAAATAATGGTATTGTCAAGAAAAATGGCGTATCCGCCAGAAATTAAAAATGTATTACTGGTTGCCTGCACAACCGCAACGTATCCGCCAGAAATTAAAAGACTTTTTCAGGCGCCATCTTTTAGTCAAGTCGAGAAGTAAGGGAATCAGACAATGGAATTGTCTGGTATGAAGAAGTACGCTTTCGAGAGTGGGGAAATTTCGAGAAGCAGTCAATAGAGTATATAAGCCGGAGCCATCGACAACTGAGGGGAGTTTTGAAATTTGAATATACCGCGTGGAAATTGAAAATCGGACAATTTGGTGAAGGAATCTTATAAATAGTTAGTTTGTTGTGTGTTATAAGTTAATAATTGTGTATAAAGTGAGAAAATAAATTCGTTAAGTATTTTATCGTGAGTTTAAATTAGTGGACCCACAGGAATCCGTAACAATTGGTGTCAGAAGTGGGATTCAAGAGGATTTTAAGAAGAAATTAAGTGGATTGGAAGATTTTTAGACCCAATTAGAGTATTTTTATGGTTGGTACAAGAGAACAAGCGAAGAAAATGGAGGAAGTAAGCAAGTTATTGGGCGATTTTATGGAGAATATGAGAAGAGAGAAGGCAGAAGAACAAGAAAGACTCCGTAGAGAAAAAGAAGAGGAAAAACTACGACGTCAAGAAGAACAAGACCAACTACAGAAAATGCTTATGGAGAATCAAGAAATTAGACAAGAACGGTTGGAGAAAATTGTAGAAAATCTAGAAGTGCGTCGCCAGAAAGATAAACAAGAAGAACAGGACCGGCTTGAGAAAATTCTGGAAGGCTTAGAGGCGCGTCATCAAAAAGAAAGACAAGAGGAACAGGACCGGATCGAGAAAATTTTACAAGGTTTTGAAGTGCGTCGACAAGAAGAAAAACTTGAAGAGCAGGACCGTATCAAGAAAAGTTTCGAAAAAATGGAAAAAAAGCAACAATCAATGTTGGAAGTACGTTGCCAGGAACAACAGAACCACTTCCAAGAAGCTGTAGAAGATCTGGAGGAGCGCCTTCAGCAGAAGATAGAAAGATTGGAGATGGACCTACAGAAGACCAAGGTACAAGTAAAGACACCTGGCGTTCAAGGAACAGCGAACCTTAAGGCCCCGACCTACGATGGACAAACGACATGGACAATGTACCACCGTCAGTTTGAAGCAGCCGCCGCTGCCAACGGATGGACTGACCAGGAGAAAGCAGCGGCACTTGTCATCGCGCTGCGTGGCCCTGCCCTGGAACTGTTGCAAACTATTCCTGCAGCCCAACAGCAGGAATACCAAACTTTGGTCGCTGCACTGGACAGAAGATATGGCGACCAACATCGACGCCAACTTTACCAGGCCCAGATCAAGACACGCCTGCAGAGGTCCGGAGAGAGTCTGCAGGAATTTGAAGCAGACTTACGTCGGCTGGTCACCTGGCATATCCAGAAGCACCGGAAGGGTTTAGGGAGGAACTCGCCGCCCAGTGTTTTATCAGCGGATTGAGGGACAACGAATTACAGAGGGCGCTACAAATATCACGATTTTCTACCAGCAGCGAAGCACTGGTCAGGGCGCTGGAAATAGAAGCTGCTTTTAGCGCCATCCCTAGACCGAAAATAAGATCAGTAACAGTCGAGGAACAGCCCGAGAGTACCCACAGAAGTTTGGAGGAGATGTGTAAAAAGTTCGACAAACTATGTGAGCTACTAATAAACAAAGGAGTCAACAACACCCAGACAGAGAACCATAGAAGATCCCAGGAAATCAGGTGCTATAGATGTGGCAGGAATGGCCACATCAAACGGGATTGCCGCGTTCAAATCCCGTTCACCATCCAGAGAACGTAGGCACCAGGAAAACTAAAATCAGTCAATACTAAGGGGCGAGTATTGACTGGGAGAACTAGAGCCCCAGGATTTTTTTCCATTAGGAGTCTAGGAAGAACCGCTGACAGTTTGGTGATCGACGGAAAGTCAATGGAAGGGAATTCGAATGACTGTGGACACTGGCGCTATGGTATCGTTGGTGCGGGCTAACTC